ACAACAAAATCAGGTTTATAGGATGCTCATAATTTATAAGCGTCCTAATAGATCTCTTTGTAGGACTTAATTATAGGACCAAAAAATAAAGTGTCCTATCTAAATGCATTGTAATAAGTTTATATGACGTTTTTTTGACGCCGTAATAAGTTTTTTTGGACACTTTTAATACAAGGCGTCTCATTAGCAACTTTATATGATACTATTTGAAAAAATGTCATATAAAAACAAGTGTCATATAAAAAAATTGAGTTTATAGGACACTAGTGTCCTATAAAGTTGCTAATGCGACACTTTATATTAAAAATGTCCTAAAAAACTTGTTAAAACGCCCAAAAGTGTCATATAAACTAATCACAATGCTTTTAGATATGATGTTTTATATTTTGATCTTATAAATTAAGTCATTTAAAACGGTCTAATTATGTTTTTCATGGTTTATCACCTTGATCATGAACTAAAAGGAAAGTCCAGGGTTGGCCCTGGCCCTGGTGCTAGGCAAAGAGGGCCACCGCCCATGGCAGCAAAGCCCAAATGGCATATCAGTAGTTGATTGTAGAACTTTTTAAGCGAAAATATAGTTTGTGAATTTTTTGCACGAAGCTATTGCGACGGGTGATGCAAAAATTGGTGGCAAAAACATAACACGTCAAAAAGGAAATATATTCCAAGCAATTGCGACGAGTTTTTACACTTGTAGAGTTTTAGAAAAAGACAAAACAGTTTATTATTATCAGTAAACATATTTTGACAACACGTTGGAGTTGTCGTGCTATAGGTTACAAAATAAAATTTATTTATTTTTATCATTAATTAATACAAAATTGTATGTTTAAAAATTTAAACATTTCATGATTAACCCTATTGGGATGACATGTCGTTAAAGTTGCTTAGCATGGACCGACTTTAATTTGTAATCGTAACACCTTGATCTAATTTTCTTACTCTAAATCAACGACGCAATCCTCTGCTCCAACATTGGAACCCGTTGTTTCTCTTGATGTCGACCATCATGCACCACCGTCGCTTTGATCATCTAATACTCAATCGTGTAATTTTCTCGACAAATTAATTTATTCTATGTATTTTTAGCGTATTTAAACACATAAAAATAAGTACCATTATAAAATATACATTTCGTACTTGAACTTGAAAGTGCAAGTAAATTAACTGCATCGAGATTCCAAAAGTAAATTTTATCCATAAAAGAATCAAAATCTTATAGCAACTTCATGGGCCAAAAACATAATGGGCTTCACAAAAGAAATTTTGGACTTAACTTTGGTCTCCTTAATGACCCGAAATAGTCCACTTAAAATAACAATCGGCCCATTAACTAGTAATAACTACAGCCAAAGCCCAGACGCCATTAGCTTCATTTGGATTTTTGGGAAATTTGAGTTTTTATGTTTAATCTTTCTTTATACATCAAAAACGTTTTGTAATGTTCAGGGACATTCCAATCTTTTTTTGTTACATCTAAAATTTTTGATTACATTGTATAAATGAGATAACAAAGAATATATGTTAAGAACAAAAATAGACTAAACCTAAAACGATTAACAATCTGAAACTAAACATAAACCATTAATAATTTGAACCTAAAACCAAAATATTAATGGTTTGAACATAAATAATTCCGCTATACTTTTACAGGTCAATAAAAAAATCCTGAACACATGTAAATTTGGGCCCCAAAATATCGGGGGCCCTGTTCAAAATCTCACATTTAACATGCTTTAATACTGAAAAACTAGTCGATTATTATATTCTTACAGATTGATTTGTGACATTGTTTATGTCTTTTCTTAGCTTTCTCAATATGTTCAATTTAGTACTAGGTAAATATATATTAAACAATGTTCAATTCATTTTTGATGGTCTTAGGTGCCGTTTACCAACTGCTTATTCCGGTAAGCGCTTACCGAGTCATTTTACTTTACTGAATGAATATGACAAAAATTAAAATTTTTACCCGGTAAATGAGAACGAGGACTCTTATCATAATGAAACCTAAGATATACCTAATTTCATAATGAAACCTAGGATATAATTAAACATAATAAACTAAAACATACTATAATTACATAATAAAACATTTTGAATACTAAAGCAAATTTTTTGTACCATTAAATTTCACGAATGAAACTGTTTCACTGTTTCATCTGCCTAACTCACGTGACTGTTTGTCACCTATTTCTCTAACATTAATGAAACTGTTTCATGTATTTCTCTAAAATTAAAATAATGAAGATGATAATATCTATGATTAACACCCTCCACAATAAAAATGATTAATCAACCTCTCATAATTACAAAAAAATGAACAAAATGAAAAATTATGATTGGTTGAATGCGGTTTGCACGGTTTGTACAAATTAAATGGTTTGCATTTGATCGCTCCCCTATATATATATATATATATATATATATATATATATATAAATAAAGCTACGGACAAAAATGGTTTTGATGATTATATTGTTTGTGAGTGTATTAGCCTTTATTTTTACAAGCCTTTGTGTGTCTAAATAGCAAATATAAAAATTGGAAAAGTCAAAGCATAGACGTCAATTATTATACATTTTCAACCAAAAAAGCTTTAACAACCTTCTCAGATGAGAGATAACAAAAAGTTACCTGAAGTTTATAGAAATCAAACCAAACGAGCTGAGAATATTTAATTTGAACCGTAATTTATATATTGATGAGATATACGTAAATGGTCATTTACCTTAGAAAGTAGGGTATTTGTTTTAGTGAAACCCTTAACTTTTAAAAAGTGTATTTAATTTGTGCTTCTATTTTCATTTTGATTAATTTGTTATTATTTAAAATATATGTAAGAGTTTTGTTTCTCATAATAAATGCATAATCCCTTTTTCACAAAATTATTTTAAATTTTTATACAAATTTATTTTCCTTTAATCTTCAAAATAAGTTTGAATATTTGACCTTGCTTATATAGTCTTTGATTCTTAGTTCCATACCAATCCTCTATGGTTGCGATTGTTGAAAGTTATTGGATAGTTGTTGATCTACTTTTCCAACCATGTTTGTAATATATAATTTTGAACCTCCTCTTTGTTTTATACCATAATGTTTTGTTAGTTTGATCCAAATGTTTATAGATAATAAAAATAAATAAACATTATATGGTTAATTGTGTTTATAATTGTCCATAAGTGTTCGTATATGTTCAATTTTTGTTCATAATTGTCACAAGTGTTCACATATATGTTCAATTTGTATTCATAATTGCCACAAGTGTTCACATATATGTTCAATTTATGTTCATAATTAACACAAGTGTTCATGTATATATGTCAATTTGTATTCATATGGGTGTATACATGTCAATTTGTGTTTAAACTTATCAAGACACTCGCTTTGATTATTTACTTCACTTCCCGATCTCGAACTTCTGATTTTCACCATAAACAATTGTAACATTCTCAATGTTGTCGTGTTGTTTTTCAATGTCTTTATCTATAATTGCTTGAACGGTAACAAACACTTTACTAGCGGATCTCCTCCACCGATCATAAATTTATAAATATTAAAAATGGAATATCAATATTAAAAATTGAAAAAAAATCACAAGATTAATATTAAAAATGCAAAAATCATAGGATTTTATGGATCTTGTAACTCTTAATTAATGATGTAGGAGTTATAAAAAAATTGTCCATATACCCTTACCATTAAATTTTTAGATAATGAAGAACCTAATATTAAGATAGATTGTGATTGTTCTAAAAGGTTTATAAAGTTAACATAATAATTTGGATTAACATTTGAACTAAGTTATATATATATATATATATATATATATATAGGGGCCTAATCAAATGAGAACTGATTAACTACAAATCAACGGATAAATTAGGAAATTAATAATTATAGTAGTTTGAGTTAAAATTATAATTAGAGGGCATATTAGGGTTTTTTTTTTAAATTCCTTTCTCCTCTCTTTTCTCTCATCTCTCCTCTCTCCGACCTCCAATCTCCGGCCTCCAGTGAAATTGGTATCACAGTATATCACAATGGGTATCACATTGTGTATTACAATGAGTATCACATTGTGTATATTTATTTTTAAGGTTTGAGTTGGTATCACAATATATCACAATGAGTATCACATTGTGTATCTTTGTGATTACTTGGTACATGCCGGATTAATGTTCACCGGAGGCTGGAGATTGGAGGTCGGACAGAGGAGAGATGAGTTTTTTAAAAAATACCTAAAAAGCCTTCTAATTATAATTTTAACTCAAACTACTATAATTATTAATTTTCTAATTTATCTATTGATTTGTAGTTGAGATTGGATCTCACAGTTACCACAAACTAATCAGTTCTCATTTGAATGAGCCCATATATATATATATATATATATATAAAAGACATGGTACAAGTAGTCTATGCATAAAAGTTTGTTTTCACATGCAACAATCCATACACATTACTTATTGCTTTTTTTAGTTGAACCAACGAAAAAATTAAAATATCAAGTATCTGAGAATAGTTATTTGAGTGGTGCTTTTAACAACCACCAAGAATTTGACGAAAAATTATCTTTCAAAAAAATTGAATTTTTTTTCTATAATGATTGAAGTATTTAAAAGGGCATTTTTGGAATAGGTGGTTCTCTAAAATGATGTAAAAATTGGTGAGGCAGCATGATATAGACATTTTCTGGTACATATAATGACTTGTATGTGCATCCTTCTGGCCCCCCAAAACACATGCCATGTTGCCCCCTCCCCCCGCCCCTCAAAAATACAAAAGCCTTTAATTGACACCAATTTCAAGTAATTAAATACGATCATTAAATAATAAGAAGCAATTAATGAACACAAATTATTTAATTACTAAAATAACCTTAACGTAAAATGAAAATGAAAGAAAAGGACACCCCATCTTCCACCACATGCATCTAATCGTATAAAACTCGATTTGATTTTATATAATAAATTTTTGCATTAAAGTCTTATTTATTTCATCAAAATATAATTGTTTTAATAATCATTAAATCACCATACAACATGTCCAGTTTTGTAATTTTGCAATTATTTTTGGGCTGCTTCTTTCGCTTTCTTCTTCTTCTTCTTCCTTCCGGCAAAACTTACAAATTCATCCACGTATGCTTACGTCATAAATTGAAAATAAAATAAATAAAAAGGCAAAAGAAAACGAAGACTAAACGGCGCCGTTACTGTTAACTTCTTCTGTTCAGACATTGACGCTGCATTTCTGTGCTAGCTGGTACTTAACTCCGACGACGACTCCGGCAATTCCAGAATTCCTGTTCCCGAAAGGAATATAAGCCGGACAAGTGACGTGAATATGGTACCGACCGGAGATAAAGCTGCCAACTTTCCATCTCACCCGTCCGTTCATCTTGATCACGAGTCCGATGGCACCGTTGGCTTGGTCTTGGGACAAGGCGGCGCCGTTGTACGGAGCCACCGGGACGTTGGTGCCGTAAACGAAGGGAGACCAGATGTTGGTGTCTTTGTGGCCTTGGTAGACAGGCTGGATGGCGGTGAAGTAGGTGATTTGCTGGCTGTGATAGGTGGCATAGGTTTCGAGCTTGTCGTAGTAGATTCCGATTTTGCTATTAGGGTTACGGGCGGCAATGGTGATCTGAAAGTTGGAGGAGAGGAGGATCGGAGCGGAGACGTTGAAGGAGTAGATGGTGGCGTCTTGGAGGACGAACCGTGGTTTCTTGGGTTCGAGGATGGCCCATGTGATGAAGAAGATGATGAGGACGACTACGGCAAGGATGCCAAATCCGATGAGTATTCGTTTGATTATTTTACGTTTTCTGTTTTCATGGTGGCTGCAATGTTTGACCGACATGGCGGTTGGTGGTGGTGGTAGTGGTGGTAGTAGGGTGGAGAGTGGTTTTTGATAAGAAGGTGGAAGAGGAATCGAAGTGTAGAAAATGAGGGGACCCTTATGATTATATGGAACTAGGAAGTAGGAATGTACCTTCGTGAAAACGTTATAATCAATATTTGTAATACAGTTTTTTATTTTATTTTATGGACTTTTTTTTATTACCCGCTATGCGAGTCGATTAATCCCAGGACGATCATCTGTTTTACAGATAGTCCGGAATCACCGCATTTGAATCTTCGTGACCACAAGAAGATTTTTATTTCTTCTTAGATTTGAACCTGAGACCTCCTAATACTTTTGATTTTTAAAGTCAAGCTTAAACCAATCAGGTTGTGGTTTATTTTATAGACTTTGGATGAACTCATTTTAAGAGGTTTTAATTTAAAAAAAATACTAATATAATACTCAAATGCATCAATATACATGTAACAAGTTTGCTCAAATTCACACACATTCTTTCACATGTTACAAAAAATAATCATAAATTTTGGTACCTTTTTTATCATTGTGACTTGAAATAAACGCATAGATCCATAAATATGCCATCAAATTCTGAATCTATTTTTTTTATTTTTTATTTATTTATGAGAGGTGGCACGACTTCATAGTCAACCATCATTAACTTCTTATTATTTTTTAATTTTATATTTTTTAAATATAAAATAAAATTCTTGGATCCTTTATCACGAACAAAAGTCTCGCTTTTTTATGTACGTTTTCCTTTATATAACAAAATTGTTGAAAAGTAATACAAATTTCGAATTTTGAAAACGAAATTAATTAAAGGGGAATCGATTATGAACTTGAGAGCCCAAGTTGTTCGAATTGTCAGATCCGGTTTCCTATTTAACAACATAATAACATGATATAGATATAGTTTTCAAAAGGCCTAACGGAATAAATTTATCCAAATACAAGACATGTTTTGAGTTCGATTCTAGACTCCTTGATATTCTCAGTCAAGATTGTATGGAACCGGTTGAATTGTTGATAATCAATTTTTTGTCTAAATATGATTTTCTAATATTTCATTTTTTTTTAAAGAAATTATATAATATGAAAGATACAAATTGACCCCAGAAATGTGAGCCTAAGACCAAGAAAAAGAGGGAGTTGGTGGGGTGGAGTGTTAAGAAAATATTTAAAGGGTGGAAATTGTGAAGAAAGAGTTGAACAACAATAATTAATTAATTAATTAATTAAATTCAAGATGCAATTATTATAAATATGATTTTAAAAAGCCTCCCCACTTAATAGTTAATCAATACCATCTATTTCACATATATTTGGTGTGTTTTTTGAATTTATTTTCCAAAATTTAGTGGAATTTTAAGCTTCATAACAAATAATTTATGATTAGTTTTTTTTAACCAACTGACAAGACCCAATTAATCATCAATTTTTAAAGAGGTTTGGGTCAACTTATATGTATCTTGACCAATCTCAAGGGTCTTGGAAAATAGTCAGAAAAATCTTTAATGATCTTGTAAAATTCGAGCCGATGATTTCAGAGGAGTATATTCGGAACCTAAGACTTATTGACAGTTGAATTAAACCCACAAAGTTATAACATTGTAGTTTTTATAAAATAGATAACGTATTTGACATGTATATATTTATTTTGACTCACATTTAATTGTTTATTTAATTACGAAAAAAACATCAATACTATCTTAATTAGACTTGCAAGAGTTCGAAATTAACAACTAAGGAAACCTTCTCTAAATGGATTTAGATCCATGACCAATAAAACAAATCCTATTTTCTAAGAAAATTAATTAAAATAATCATTTTTATCGATTGGTTTCACCTTTTAGCCATTTTTTTAAAAGATTTACAAAATTGTCTTAGGTGCCCAATTTAAAAAAAATTGCCACCTTGGTGAAAGATGTAATTTTTTTTTACGGAATGAGTGAAAAATGTAAATATTTTTGTCGAAATAAGTGAGAAATGTAACTTCTTTTTTACAAACAAAGGTAGAAAGTGTTATTTATAGGTACAAGTATTAAAAACAATTAATTGTAATTAAAATGAAACGGCCGACTATTTAGTTTGACGGTGGAGTGTATTTAATTCGATCAAATTTAAATATTTTCTTAGAGTAAATTGCTCATTTAGTCCCTATGATACACGCTGATTTTGACAAAATTGGTTTTTAGACTTCATTCATTATGGATTGGTCCTTGTAGTATGCAGATTATGTTGGACTTGGTCCTTTGTCCTAACGATATTCTACCAGATCCGTTAAAATCGAGGGCAAAAGTGTCCTTTTATAGTTTCCATTTATTTAAACTTTTTTAATTAACATTTTTAATTTAGGGCCAAAACGTACATATTAAAATTTGGAGACCCTAATCAAACTTATTTATCTTTCTTCTCCACCGAACTTGTTACCTTTTTTCCGACAAAACCACCTTTTCGACAAAATCCCTTCACCAACACACCAGTGGAACCATGAGTGATCCTCCCCCACCACCCCTACCCATGAGTGACCCTCCCCCATCGTTACCTTCCCTTTTCCTTGTCGCTGCCCCTGCGCTGTGACCCACACTCCCTTCCATTGGCCCCTACACTACGACTCTCCTCAATAACCATCTCAATCGATCCTACATACACAGACGATCAAACTCGAGGGTAAGACTATAACGAAAGAACTAGTGAGTTTGGTCCATGTGGTGAGAGCGTGGTGTCGGTTATGTAAGGGCAACAGTGGTATTTGTATGTAGCCATGGGAGGGGTGGAGATGTGATAACCCTTATTTCTCATCTTTTTAGCCTATTTTTAATCCGTTTACTAGACCAGATGTCCATTTTAGCCTTCTAATATCTCTTCAGTCTAAATCAATCCTAAAGTCAATAAAATCACTAAAAAGTCGGATATTTCCATTTTAAGCCATAGTGGCGAGTCACTGTTGTTGTAAGTAGTGGCTGGAGCTGCAAAAAAATCTATTTTCAGAATTCATTGCCAAAATATTGAAAGAGGATGAAGGTTGGGGCTTTCACAAAAGAGAAGAGAAATGAGACAAGAAGAATGGATCAAGCTTAAGATATAATACAAATATTGAGAAGTTATTTTCTCCCTCTCAAGTCTCTTTTACCTCTTCTACTATATAAGGAGGCATCCCATTTAAACCAACTTTTGTAACCAAGAATCGGCTTCAAATTATTTAGTTCTTATATTTGTTTTTTTAATTAGTTTAGTTTTTACAGTATTTACTTTATGTTCGCACTGTGGAACCCGGCCACAGTGGCAAGTTTACATTTAATGGAATTTATGCTTGACTATTTATGTTCTTTCATTATGTATTTACTTATGAGCAATAGTTAAACCCACGCCTCGGTGTGGGTGTAAGTCAAACCCGAGATGTCAAAATGTAACATGTGGGTGTTACCACTTTTTGCTAACTCTCCGGTTTGGTCATTCGAGTTGAAGCTTTAACTCAACACGGACACGATGATCACCTGTAAGTATTAATATTAGATATTTGACCCAGAGATGGGCGGATCCGAAATACGGCTTGAATGATGCAAATATATGAGTTTTTGCATAACCGTACTAAGGTCGAGTCAGTGTGTCATTGAGATATGCTCATCTCTCATACTGGCGGAGCTAAGATCTTCGAGATCTACTTAGTACGGTTGGCAAAAAAATTAGCATTGTGGAAATTTTATGATTAAAACATAATCACAACTCATACAACGTTGCTTCAAGAGAAGGAAATTGTATGGATCATTTTGTGACCGGTTTCATCAACCATTTAAGTTATTATATTACTAACAGGGAAAACTTACACCCATACCCGTTTTTTTATTAACTGTTATTTTTAAGATATCGATATTCTACGAATAACAAATCATTTTTATAAAACATAACTTTGCATTGGAAGTTTGTAAAAAAAATCTCTGATTCTTAGTAGTTCAGTCCTGTAGAAATGACATTTAAAACTTACTATTGTATTACTTGAAAAAGCAAACTCAATAGTTGGTGTATACTTACACCAATGTTGTGCCATGATTTATGTGTGTTATTTATGCTATCAAGATGTTAATGGGTGATTGATTAGATGGAAGGGGTTGATGCCGTGAGAAAGGGGAGTTGATGCTCCTGTGCGAGAGGGTCGGTGTTAGAGATTTACTCTATTTTTAATGTAATATTTGGTTTACAAACCATTAAATAAAATTTGACTATTAGTCAAATTTTTAATTATTCGTTAAAATACACAAAATGAAGAAAATGAAGTTAAAATTCAATTCAGATCATGTAATCGTTATTTAAAACAAGAAAATAATAATTTGAATTCGAAAAAAGAATACTTAATTTAAAACATCATCTATACAGTGGCATGTAACATGTCGTATTGAAATATTGTTTATAAGTAAATTATATGCCTTATACAACTAATTATAATAATAAAACTTTATAATATTTTTTATTAAGTGGGGTTTAATATTCTACGTATAGAAATACACAAGGACTGGACCTTAATTAACCATTTCTAAGAAACAAAGATCGAGTCGGATCTTAATTGATCTTTGGCCAAATAAACATATAAGAGAATGTAGGAGCCGTTTATTAAACGTTTATCCGGATAAACATTTACCAAGTCATATTGCCTTACCGGATGGATATGATAAAGATTAAGAATCTTACCCAGTAAGAATGAAGGCAATAACCGAAAGTCTTACCCGATAAGTGATGACGATGATTCTTACCACGGTTAACGACTTACCGGATAAATTGTTGCATGTGATACCATTTTGGTGAACTAAAATCCTACCCGGTAAGTATGTAATAATGTTGAATTTTACCTGTAAATGCTTAAAGAATAAGTGTTTGGTAAACGACCTTGTAGTCGATAATTATTAAAAAGAATCTCAAACTTTTATTTAATTGTATAATTGTAAGAAATAAAAAAAACAATTAAATCAGTAACGTTGTAAGCTAATTAATTCTCTTGACATCTTTATTTAATCTTTTCACCTTGAATATTCTTTCTATTCAATTTGAATTCTTTTTTAT